GCTGCTGCTGCTGCTGCTGCTGCTGCTGCTGCTGCTGCTGCTGCTGCTGAGCCATGAGGACCTTTGAAATAAAAAACTTAAATCTTAAATAAAAGTTCCCGTGTGCAACTCTCTTCATCTGCTTCCTCCTCAGACCACCCTGACCCACAGAAAAAACAAAACATATATTTATTCTGTTATGTTTGGTCACATTTTCAAACAGCCACTGCAGAGGGACCAAAGGGACCACATGTGGCCCCAGAGCCGCAGGTTGCAGACCCCTGCTATAGATGAATAATATTACTCTAATCAACCTTAAATACTTTTTATAAATTTCCACATTGGTTTCTTTGTTGAGAAAAATCAACATATGTTTTTGTGTGGTTTTAAAAAGCCAGTGATCAATCAGTGAAACGCACTGATCAACCTGYATCCAAGTGAACAGATTTAAGGGAAGTTTTACAGCAAACACAACATTTTAAATCTGCACGTTTCACTTGTTCTAACTCATGTTTGTTCATTTTAAACAGAACCTCTGTTCCCTCTGGCAGAAAATAATGCTCATATGCATGGAACAGCTGGAACACTGTGGGCAAAATGTGTTTCTGTCTCAATGTTTTACTGAATGTAAGCTTTAAAGAAGAGCTGCATGGAGATACAGAATATCTGAAATGACAGAAAAAAACTTGTTTTGTCAGCATTAAAATGCAGTAAATCAAGTTAGAAGAAATCAGTTCTGTGACAACGTGTCAGAAACAGCAGATAAGATGGAAGACGTTAACAAAAACAGATTTTTTTTTTCCTTTCTTTTCTTACCTTGTAAGACAGAGCTGGTTCTAGACTACACTGTTTCCATGGAGATGGGTAGTCCTCAGATGACAGGTTTCTTTTTTTGTGGGAAAACAGTCTGGTTTTCAGAGCAGCATCAATCATTTCATTCCTCAAAGGGAATCCCCCCCCCACACCCTGCGTGAAACCACTTCTTATTTTTGACTATTTTAAGYTGTTTCTAACAACAGATATTTGATCAGCAGCTGTCTTCATACAGTCGTTTGTTTTTAAGAGATTAGAAAATAAAACTGAGSTTTACCTGCTGCTGATGTGGATTAAAGTGACTCAGAGATTAACCTGCTTTAAAATAAAGTCTGGATTTTATTAAGAGTTATTATTAGTTAGACACAGTCCTTGGTACATCTCAAGAACTAAATTGTTGTCAGCTAAATTAGCGTATTCAGACCTGATAATTTGCTCCGCTTTAAACAAACCAGAGTTTGTTTCCAGCGTTGCTCCGGAGCTTTTCTGCAGGTTTGAACACACTCATGTGAACTCTGGTGCGTATCAAACAACCGGACCGAGACCTGCTTTTTGAGGTGGTCTCGGTCCGCTTCAGTTCGCTTCTGGTGTGAATACAGACCGGACTCTAATGCTGCGTTCACACCAAACGTGATTTCAGCATCAGGAGCAGCAGGTTTACATACAAAGTCTATGGTGGACGCGCTTCAATCAGCGTCGGGAACTGCTGCGGCGCCTCA